CGGGATACGGTGAAAAAAAGAATATATTAATTACCTTTTTTGTATTAATTATATTGGGAATTAAAAACCCATATTAAATACAAAAATTTTTTTGAAATTTAAATCCTATACATTAATATCTCTATTTATCTCTCTCTCTTCCTTTCTCCAGCGCCACTCCGCATCGACGGACAGACTTTTTCTCCAGCGAATTCTCTCCGGCAGACTCCATCCGACAACCTGAAAAATGTACCAGTGCATTAAAAAGTGTACCAATCCATTAGTCTACTGGTAATTAATATAGCAGTGCTAGTGGTACGCTACCAGTGCGTTAAAAAATGTACCAGTGCTAGTGGTACGCTACCAGTACAACACTACCACTACCATATTGTATCGTACCACTAACACTGGTATCGTACCACTAGCATTGGTAGCGGTACCAGTAGAGAATAACACAAAAAAAACATATGGTAGTGGTACCAGATGATAGTGGTACGCTACCACTACCAGCTACCTGATTGTAGTGGTAGGTACCACTATCACTGGTACGCTACCAGAAGAAAAATGGTACCACTAAAAAACCAGATCTAGAAAAAGGGAGCCGGTGACGGGAGAGAGAGGTAGGGGAAGAGGGTGACCTCGCGACGGCGGCAGTGGTGGGAGATGAAGGGCGGCGAGAGGGCTCCGACGGGGAGAGGATGATTGTGTCGCGGTGGTCGGAGGGGACGTTGCGACGACATGGGGTGGAGGGAAACTGAGGATTGCGGAGACGACGGCGGTAGAGGGCTGCTGCGGGAGACAGGGGTGGCGGCGCCGGCGGTGGAGGGCTGCTGCAATGGAGGATGCGGCAGCGGTGGAGGGTTGCGGCTGTACGTGGGCACCGGGCCGTGCCGCCTACGGACTAGCACGGCACGAGCACGGGCACGAAATAAATGTGCCAGCCCGGCACGAGCACGAATAATTTATGGGCCGTGCCGGGCCTAAACTTCATGGGCACGAGCACGGGCACAACACGGTATATAAGTGGGCCGTGTCGGGCCTAATATTTTCGAGACTTTATTGAGTAAAAGAATGAACATGGTACCAAAATAATATTTATTTGATAAAAAATAAATATGAAAAGAATTATAGGTTCAAATATTACAAAACACAAGTAGAAAAATAATTATTTGTTGTTGTTAGAAGTGTCATAAAGATATATACGTAATTACTAACATAAGTAAAAATGGACAAAGAATTAAACAAAACCAAATAACACTCGCTATACTTCCAATTTTCTTTTCCCGCTTATTTGTTACTTTTCTCAAACATTATCGGTTAATACTATCTTCCCCGTCCAATTTTCACCTTCTTTTTCATTCTCTCTTTTGTTTTCGTCATTTTCATTAAACACGAATACGAGCATGACACGAGCACGAATAGGCACGACACGATTCAAACCGTGCCGTGCCTGGGCCGGGCCTAGCAAAAGTAACAAATAGGCTTGCATGGCACGGCACGAAAACTGACGGCCCGTGCCAAGCGCGGCACGAAATAAATGGGCCCGAAGCGTGCCCGTGCCGTGCCGGCCCAAGCACAGCCCAGCGCCTATGTATAGTTGCGCGGTGGAGGTGGCTGCATGAGAAGGGAGGAGGGGGAGAGGGGGTGGGAGGAGTTAGAGTTTTGTTTTTAATTTATATGGGAGGGTAAATGATTGTGTGTGATAAATCTTTTCCATTCCAAAAATACCCTTCTTTTAATCTTAACCATCAATGTGGAAAAAAAAAAGACAGGAGAGAGGGCGTATCCAACGGTGAGGAGATAGGTTGTCAAACTCACAACCCCCTAAGGGGTTGTCACCGTATCCCATCCCTTCTCAATCCAATCCACCAACCCATTAAAAATATCCACCTAATCCAATCCATTTAAATCCAATCCATTTGATCCAAATCCAATTGGATTGGTGGATTAATGAATTGATCCATGGATCCAAATGGCAAATTACGGTTTGGTACCTATACTTTTTATATTTTACATTTTGGTACCCAAAATTTAATTTTTTGTACGAAAAATATCATTGAAAAATTACGTTTTGGTAGCTAAAAATTTTCATTATGACATTTTAGTACCTAAACTTTTCACATTTTACATATTGGTTCTTGGTTGAGGATGTCATTTGAATTCATGGATAATAGACCAATCCACTGGATCCATGAAACCACCAATCCATTGGCCACCTCTACTACTACTAATCATGATCAAAACTCCCACTTTGCATCTGTATTCTCTTTGTCTTTATTTTTCATATAATCATCATTATTTGCTTGTTTATTCTATTTGTTGAACAAGGCTTAGAGTTGATCAAATCCCATAAAGAAAAAACACAAAAATAAAATACTTGAAAATACCCACTCTTGTCTTATTAAATATTTAGTTGAGCAAGTGCCTGCTCGCAACATAGCGCCACCAGGGAAATGGTGAAATTGCTGTTTGGCTTATCATAACTCCAAAACTTCGATCCAAATTTATGTTACTTATAAATCAATGTTACAGCTAACAAACCTTTTCAATTTGTTGTGACATTTAGGGTCGCTGTTATGATTTTTCTTTCATTTTATTGAGATCTCACGTACTTAGCACATCTGAAGGTCATGCATTCATCATCCATTTCATAGTAGCAGGTGCTATTCTGATCAATCTCTATTAAACAATACCGTATTAGTGGTTCGACAGCAAAAAGACTATCCCCGAACGCAGCTTACAACTTTTATCGTATTGTGCTCTCCAGAGAGCAACTCTTCTTGACACTTTGCCTTAGAATTAGTTAGTTCTATTTATTGATTTCTCAATGAGGCCAAGTAAAGGGATATAACTCAACAGTAGAGTGTCACCTTAATGTGGTGAAAGTCAATAGATTGAGGCTCTTTTTTTTTTTTTTTTGTTAAGGGTGATATATATTAATTGAGGTAAAAAAAAGACAAGAACAAGAATAGCATAGCACATCACAGTCGGGTCCAAAGGCTAACCAACCGAGCAAAAGGAGCAGAGAGAAAGAAACTCCCCCCACCCCTGCTCAAAACAGAAGAGCGTCGAAGCAGCAGAAGAAAGATCCCCTCCCCTCCCAAACAGCAACCAGAACTGGAAAAAAAACAAACAAACAAAGAAAATAGAGGAAACAGGGGGCCAGGCTGCAACAGCTTCTTCGAACAACAAAAAACAGCAGAAGCCAAGTTAAAAGACCAAGAAAACAAGGTCTACAGCTCCTCCACAGGAAGTTGCGATCCCGAAATCACGATCTGCTGCGAGTTGACAGGGAGAAATCTGGCCTTCATTTCTTTGATCCACCTTTCCGCAATCTCTTTATCGACCTTTCTTGCTACCGTCAACCACCAAAAAATAGCGTAGCCGATCTTCATCACAAGTGAAGGGATATGGCACTCCTCATCTTTGAACACTCTAGCGTTTCTTTCTAACCAAACACACCAGCAGAAGGCATGTAAAGCTACTCTTGAGCACCACTGAGCTGGATTCGCCGGATTAGGATGCAACCAAAGTCTGACTCTTTCATAAATGTCAAGAACCGCATCAGCACTTCCCTCTATTTTAACAAAGCATTTCAATATGCCCCAAACCTGATTTGAGAACGCACAGGTGATGAAAATGTGGTTCGGGGATTCTTCTTCACTCTTGCAAAGGACACATCTATTTGGAATGTAGAATCCTTTCTTCTTCAAGTTGTCAATGGCGAGGATTCTTTTGTGGAAGACCAGCCATAAGAAGATGCAAATCTTGCTCGACACGATGCTTTGCCAAATCACCTTTGAGGGAAACTCTGCAGTTCCCACAGATCGCGCATCGGCTAGTTGTTCAAAGGCCGAGTGGATGCTGAAACTAGCTGTAGGAGACGGAAGCCAACTTGGTCTTTGAGGTCCTGCAAAAAAATTCTGAAATGGAATAGAATGAAGTAGATCAAATAACCTCACACGCTCTCTTTCAGCCCCACCCCGAAGTGAATAGATCAATGGAATGTCTCATTGACAGTTTCCCTCAGAAATAGAAAGGTAGTCAGCGATAGTGGAGTTCGGAGATTCGGCAGCAGCCAGGACTCTCGGCAATTCTTCAGCCAATCGGATGCCCTCGATCCAGGTGTCAAACCAGAACGATGTCCAGTAACCTTGACCATGCTCAATGCAAGTGAGTTTCCAGAAAACAGACTGCAGTTTCATAATCTTGGCCTAGAGGCTACCTCCAGCACTGCCGGACAATATACCTGAGAACCACTTCGAGTGGTGGTTAGGAAACTTGGCATCAATAATTTCCCTTCACCAAGTTCCCCTTTCGGTCGCGAATCTCCAATGCCATTTGAGCAGGAGAGCTCGATTATTTAACTCAAGATCGCGAATACCCAAGCCTCCCCTGTTCTTGGCAGTTTTGCAAAGATCCCATGATACAAGATGAAGTTTCTCCCTTTCCTGTGTACCAGAGCAAAGAAAATCCCTTTGGATCTTCTCCAAATAATTGATGACATTCTTAGGGATTAAGAACAACGAGCTTATATAGTTACTTTGACTTGCAAGCACCTCGTTGATAAGCACTACTCTCCCTCCCAGTGATAAAAATTTTCCTTTCCAGCCTTCCAATCTTGACTGAGTCCTAGTCACAACGTTATTCCAGTGCGCAGTAGGTGGAGATTGACACCCGAGAGGTAGACCAAGATATGTTGTTGGCAAAAAAGCCCATTCACAGCCAAAAATTTCAACCAATCTCTCAATATTTGCTACCTCCCCCACAAGGAAAATTCTCGATTTCTCTAGATTTATCTGCAGACCAGTAAATTGAGGCTCATTATCTAATAGGCGATTTTTACCTGTATGAAATATTGCTTGAACTGCGATTGAAACTGTACAAAATATGCTACCAGTCTACCGTTTCCTGGTTACACCTTTTTTTCCCCAAACGATCTCATGATTAGTGAGATGAGAAAAGATTAGAGGTTTGTACACAAAACCTATAAACTAGACAATCAAGCAACGAAGTCGAACCTCTGAAACAGACGAGGCGACAAAAACAAAGCTTTACGAGCCACCAAATGAGCCACTCCGTTATTATTCCGACCAACAAAAGCCAAAGAAACCCCACCCCAACCAGCCGATCAATCTCCAGCAAGAGACATCCAATTTTTGAATCCGATAGATCTTTGCTTAGACATTTGTCAATAATCAACTTAGCATCACCATGAACAGCAACATCCAAAATCCCCAACGCATGACGCTGCAGTAGACAATCCCGCAAAGCAAGACCTCCACCACATAAGCATCATGAATCCCTTCATATCTATGAGTTTCCTGGTTACACTTGTATAACTGGAATTTGAACGTAATGGCCCAACAGAAACCAGGCTGGTCAGCGCAGCCCAACTGACTAAATAAAAGCCCAGTTTCCGTCAAGCAATTTATGGCCCACAAGGCAAGCCCGACTCATATGTCTGCAGCTTCCGAGTTCAATCGTTGTCTGTGACTCGGTCACAAACGCACATTGTGTTGTCTGTGGTGGATCAAAGCTCAGCGCCTGCAGGCTGCAAGGCAAGCGCTCTACCAGGAGAAGCCGAGAAGGTGAAGAGGGAGACGAGGGATGACGGCGTTTCACTTTTTCAACTGTGCGATTCTGACCTTCGGACCTCACGCCGTCTACTACTCTGCCACGCCATTGTATGTCCCCTTTCTCTCCTTCGCCAACTGGTTTCCAGATCTTTCCCAGTCAACTAGAAAAGCACCAAAATTGAATCTGAGTCCTGCCTGATTGCTTTGTTTGACTCTGTTTCTTAATTGGGTTGCGCGCGATGAGGGTTTGGAATTCTATGTGGGTTAGTGGGAAGCTGCTAGTCGATTGTGGTTTTCGTCTCGTGTGAATATGAATGCTGGGTAGTGATTCGCTTGTCTGTTTTCAGCGGAAAGGAAGCATTTTGTAATTATTAAGTTTGAAAGTTATGTTAATGGCATGGCTGCGGGCATTGGGTTGTGGGCAGGTCAGAGTATGATACTCTTGGCACATCTATGAAAGCTGCGCTTGTTTATCTGGGAACTGCCATAGTTAAGGTTGGTGGGATTTTGTATTGTTATTCTCGGTTCTTTTGTTTCCTTGTATCAATTGGGTGGCTGAACTGCTTTATCTTGGCCAGCTTGTTTGCTTGGCGAATTTTCTCAAGGTGTCCGAGAACGATGAGTTTGATCCTTATCAGGTACTTCCTTTGGGGGAATTCCAATTGATGGAATGCGTAATTCTGATTTAGAGTAGTCTAACTAAGGCCATTGTCGTATGTGTAAATGGGAATTGCTTCTGAAAATTCTGTTTAGAGTAACTGAAGTTCAATATTCCATGAGAAATGTGTGTGGCATTGATCGCTATTATGCTTCTTGCTTCGAATGTGGCTTCCGCATTTGCTTGTTGATTACGAATTGAAGGTATTTGTATTGATCAGCTTCATGGTTTTTTGCTTACAGGAATCTTTGAAAGCCCTAATTGGTCTGGTAGATGTTGCTGGGATTTACTTCGCTTTGACTCAATTGACTCATCGGAACATCTCTCAAAACCACAAATTTCAAGCTGTTGGCCTTGGTGAGTGAGTAGTGACCTCTAACCTATGACTCTACTTGATATAGCTTAAAATTTTATCAGAGCATGAATGTAAACATCTTTGACAAAATCTGTGATGTAAGGATTTTACTGGGTCTCAACATGTCCATAGTTGCTTAAATCTTGCTCTGTTCTAATACAAATCTGTCATTGTCCAGGTTGGGCTTTTGCGGATTCCATCTTGCACAGACTAGCTCCTCTCTGGGTCGGAGCTAGAGGCCTAGAGTTCACTTGGGACTACATTCTACAAGGCCTGGAAGCAAATGCCAACCTGGTTTGTTCTCTCAAGCCGTATCAGTCCCCCTAACTTCAGTTGCTGCTCCCAGCTGTTAAATGCTAATAATAGTTCGGCACATACAGACTGTAAACAAAGTGTTTCCCTCTATAAAATTTCAGGCTTTCAGTATTTCAATGGCGGCATTGGGGTCCTTGATGTGGCTTCGCAGAAACAAACCTAAGACTTTGATTCCTTTGATATATATTTGTGCCCTAATAGTGGCAACCATGCCTTCCATCACAAGGTGAGCTTTTCTGTGACTATTTTGCATTCCATAAGGTTTTACCATGACAAAGCTATGATAATAACTTCATATTCTTCTATCCATCAGCTATTTGAGGAAAAAGCTAGACTGGCATTTCCCAGAAGTCGTAGGGTTCGAGCTCGGATCATCTCTAGTAATGGCCTTTATCAGTTGGCAACTCTTCTCTGCTTGTCAGAGACGTTCATCGTAGGAAACACCAAGATTCATCGTCTGAGAATCAGCTATTGCTCCAAAACTCGTTGACCCAGAGCATTCTCTCTTTGTAATAGGCTGCCTTTGTTGCTGCAACTCTCCACATTTACCCCTTTCTACGGACGATCTGAATGCAATTTTTGCCTGTAAGTTCACTAGCATTTCATAACTTCCCCTGTTGGGGGCTATATATCCAGGTCAATTACACAAATTATCAGTCAAAAATCAATTACTGGACCCTGATTTTTACAGCATGTCACTGAAGTTTAGAAAAGTTAACTCTATAGTCTAGTCTGGCATCATTAGTCAAGTTTTTCATCTAAATTGCCGAATTTAATGTGCCACATTCAAAATTGATCATAGAAAAAGGTTGGATTGATCATTGATGATCCTACTAATTGGTTCAAAATGGGAAAGTCATTTTTCAAATTTCAATGGCGCATCAAGGATCTTGTATGGAAGAAGACTGATCATTTAGAAAGGCTCCAAGCTGTGAAGAATAATGTGGAACCAAAAAAAAAAAAAAAACACAAAGCTCTTCGAGAGGAATCATGGTTCTTATTACCTTAAACCACAAATGTTCTTCATTGTACACCAAAAATTCACTTTATAAACGACACTAAGAAAAAGAAGCCAAGTTCAATGGAGTTCCCAGAAAACCGGGGGTCCTCACTCCGATTCCTCGACGGCAGCTTCGATTCGAAGAAGGACGAACCCCATAGCGACTCCAACCAAGGTGAGACCATTCATAATTGCAGCAATCTGGAAGATCTCATCAACTCTGCTGCACTTAGCAGACAGAGCACCGCCGCCGTTGCCGCCGCCGCTTTTCCTCATGGAGCTAACAATCTTGGCGAAGCCCTGATCGGCGCAAACGGACTGGCCCAGAGCAGCCACGCTGTTGTGAGCCTTTAGCCCTCCGTAGGAGTTGAGCCCTCCAACGGAGACCATCTTGGTGGTGCTTCTCTTCTGTTGGGCGGTGTTGCAGTTTCCGATGGTCACCACCGCGCCAGTTACAGTTGCTGCTGCTGCTACTGCCGAGGCCATGTTTGAGAGCCTGCAATGGGATGAAATGAGGGAGCAGTAAGGTTTATGATGGCGGGTTAGGGATGGCAGTAAAATAAGGAAAGTTTGGAGCTTTCTTTTACCTGAATAAGTATGCAGAGTTTTGCAGTGGAGGAGAAAGAGAGGGGCTCGATTTTTGTAATTTGGGGAGAGGATTTGGATAAGGTGAAGGGATGAGATAGATGGGTCTTGTAATGTCTGGTTGCCAAGCAATCAAGATGACACGAGTGGACAGTGGAGTGAGAGTGGGTTTTCTTTGGATGTGGGAAGATGCAATTTTGCAAATGCGAAAGTGACCAACTTTTGGGCCATACAAAGTTAGCTGTGGACTGTGGAGAGCACAAGCCCGCCATTCGAAATCTTCGCAATAATGTGAGCTTGTAAAGCATAGGCATATGGTTTTAAAAAGCGTGTTAAGCAGTCGTTTAAGCGGGTCGTTTGGAAGTTGTGATTGTTAGAGTTGTGTTTGTTGAATACATATATTGTGCATAATACAATTTTTGGAAGTGCCAAAGTGTAGCATTGTTTTAGGTAGATCCCACCATCAATCACAAAAAATGATGCATTATACAATCTCAACGAGGTCGTTTGGAAGTTGCGAATGTTAAATCGTTGCATTATACAATCTCAACGAGGTCGTTTGGAAGTTGCGAATGTTAAATCGTTGCATTGTAATGAATCATTATAAAATAAATGTATGTATTGATACAATGGATGCATTTTAACAATACATTGTTTGGTTGTTGAGATTCTACTTTATGTATTGATTTACATAAAGTTACTTTTATGGGAAAATGTCATATTTACCCTCAACTATTAGGGATATAAATGGGTAGAAAAAGTTGACACAAATCTAAAAGCAACAATCTTAACTTTTAGTTGAGATTGTATAATGCATCATTTTTGTGTGATTGTTGGTGGAAACTACCTAAAACGACCCCTGAGATTGTTGTGATTGTTGCTTTTAGATTTGTGTCAACCTTTTCTTTCCATTTATATCTCTAATAGTTTTTGTCTTATACTAAAAGTTGAGGATAAATATGACATTTCCTCATAAAACTGATAAAAGTAATTTTATGGTAAATCAATGCATAAAGTAGAATCTCAACAACCAAACAATGTATTGTTAAAATGCATACATTGTATCAATACAGGCATTTATATTATGGTGATTCATTACAATGCAACGATTTAACATTCGCAACTTCCAAACGGCCCCTAAGTTTCATTTTTTAGTTAGGCACGAGAAAAACACATCACCTCCCTTGAACGCAAGAGACGAGTAAAGGGGTGAACGCAAGAGACGAGTAAAGATGTCTCTTCTCTCGAGTATGGCATTGGTGTCCGACTGTGCCTAGAGAACAGTAAGTCGTGCTTTAAAATGACGATGTAGTATCTCCCTTCTCCCTCTCGATTTATTACTGGGTTAGAGAAAATCAAGACCCTCTTCCTTTTTCTTTCTTCTGCTCCCAAATTCATGTAGCCTACAGGTTAGAAGTAGAGACGGCATTTTTAGAACAATTTCTTCCTCCTTTTGTTGCACTTCTTCTCTCTCAATTTGCTCTCATTCTGCTACTTCTTCATTCCTCGTTTCTGCTCAAGATGTTTTATATTTTATCAGATTTTGTTGATGAGCCTTTAGAAATGAGATGCTGACGTGTTGATTTTGGTTCTTGAACATATGATTTTAGCCAATTGTGAGATATTTTGCTATAAGCAAGGTAGACGCTAGACAGGATCCAAACCCTAACCTTACGCTTAACGCTTTCTTTGACCATTGATAGTACGGCCTTGGCGGGGTAAGGATTGGGTGCTAAGGAGTTGACATAACAATTCGTCTTCTAATTATCTTCATTAGAAATATCCAATTGCCTTAACATTTCTACTATTCTACCAACAAAAAAAAAAACAAATCTAGAGTTTCAGTCTACATCTCCAACACTAAAGAGTAGCCAAAGCAAAGACTCCAAAGCCACTAGCCATTTTAGTTCACCAAATCCCCAACATAGATTAGCTTGGCATAGCCCGCTCAAAGCTTGCCCTGTTGCCTCAAAATCTACATTATGAAGCACACCTAACATCATCCTGGTACAAGAGGAAAGCAGCAACTCTAACCATAATAACTTACAGCATACTCCAGCAGCACACCTCAGATCGTCACCAAAAAGTTACTCATCTTGGATCACACGAACTATCTTAACGTTTAGGCTAATCGATGCGTAGAATGGACCATCAGGTTCGAACACGCAAACATCAAACTCTTCCAAGTTGTTCTCAACTGCAAATGACTTCCAGCCAGCTGAGAACCCACCGCTCTTACGAGACTGCTGATACGTAAACTTGGTCGTCCACGTCTTGTCCTTCACCTTCAGGACCACACCGTGCTTGAGCAACAAGGGAAGATGTTTGTTCGTCCATACATTTGGGACGGACTACAGGGATAAAGGGGGGGAAACCCCAGAAACATAGCTCATAATTTGTTGAATCAAATGTCAGTAAAACCAAATAAACTAAATGAGGAAAAGAAATGGGTGTGGCATCATAAATACCATGAAGAATTTCCTATATACATGTGTTGGTTTCATGACAACGTAGAACCCATCTTCGGTTACAGCCTCTTGTGCCAATTCCAAGGCCTTCCTTTTCTCAGCTTCTGTTACCAGTTTTCTAAGTGATATGTATGGCACATCATGCACCACATCAAAGCTAAGGGGTGTTGTTTTAACATCTGCATCATGAAGAAAACCAAAGTAACCACCCAGTGAATCCTCTACTACAATAACTCTCAACTCCCAGGTACTCACTAAGCATCTTCTAAGTGAGTGTGAGCCGTGAGGACAATAACTCAATAGTAGTTAACAAACGAAAATGTAAATCAAGGGAGGAAATGGATGATGCAATCACAAACATTTCATATACCAACAGGCAACAGATGCATCGATAGAAAATTGAGTATTTGGGATACAACGCACTACCTTTATCTTTCTCCCTGTCCCCAGAACAAGATAGTCCTTCGCTTTTCTCAGTCTTGCTATCATGAATTGAGTCCCCACTGCTCTTCTTTTGCCTCTTGAACTTTGCATTGGTACCTTCCCAAACAATAGGGTGTTCAACTGTTCTAGTGACAGGCTTAGCAACCGGTGTTGTTTTAGCCTCATTCTTTACCACCGCACGACCAGCTCTCGATGATGGCACCGTGCTGCCAATGTCATTCTCGGCAGTTTTCTCTAACGATGTGTCCCTAACCCGAGCAACAGGAGTTGCCTTAATGACACCAGAAGAGTTCCCTCCGAGCATCCGCTTGGGATGGCTACCATTTTCAGGAGGAGCTTTGCTTTGTTCACACTTCTTAACAAAATAAGAACTCGCCCTCTCGCAGAAGGACTCCCCATCGAAGATCATGACCTCAAAATGAGAAACCCCATTGTACTTGAATACCAAGAGATCATGCTCCTTGAGCGAGTGGTCCTTCACAAATTCTTTCCAACCTTCATCGAAGAACATAGTTCCTGAATTCATAGCCAGTCCAACTTCCCATGTATTGCCACCGGGACCTTTAAGTGTCACACGTTCTGGCAATTTCTTTCTCTGGTTGCCAAAGAAGGCTTTCGGCATGGCCTGTCCCCACATCATCAAAGCAACAACGCATCACACAAAAGCAAAATGAGCAGAACCCAGGTCGCACATTGTCACAAACTCTAATAACCCTGAAAACCTAGGTGAAAGTCAGATCATGGATACAAATCCGTTACCACTTCACAGAAATTAACGATAAAAGGGTTTATAGAACAGAGAAAGCTTACAAGCTGGTGGTCGTAGCCAGGAAGGAGAAACTGAGAGAAATGGGTGAACTGGAAATGCTTCCAATACATTTCCTCTTCCCAGCTTCTGCAGCCGCCTCCCGACGATTCTTCCTCCATTTTCCCGGCAATCAATCTAGAGCCTAATCAAAATCCACAACAAAACGGAGAAGAGAAACCCACCAAAGACTAAATCCATCAAAGCGAAATTAGTAACCAGTGTTCTCCACCATTCGAAGAAAATGAAAGAAGAAGAATGAATTACCCACCTGAACAGCAACCACGCGCGACTCGAACAGAGACCAAAGGGTTTCCCGAAATCTGAAGAAGAAGGAGAAGTATGAAGATGTGTGAACCGCTGGGATATTGAAACGGAGATTTATGTGACTGTTAAATGCTTGATCGATAGATCACTCCTCAGCTGGAATATAACGGAACGGAATATGAGCAACAAACAAAATCGAACCCAGTTAGGGAAGGATAGGAATAGGATAGTGCGAATTTAAGGGGGGTGGAGTTATTGTGGAGCGACGACGAGCCAACAACTAGGATCGCTCCCGCACGACCACCGATGTTCTGCAGATTTGATTACGACTACACGAGCAATTGAGTAGATTGTGTCAAGTCACTCAATCTGGCATGAAATAAATTCATATTTGGGCACGAAATTATTCGGTGTTTATTATTCAAGTTCTTGCGCTTCTTTTTTCCTTGTGATATTCTTAATTTCTTATCATTTTGGACATTTCCTAATAAAATAGTTAACGTAATTTTTTCATTATTAATTGTGAAACATGGAGATGGAGTGAACCCTAATGCATCGTCAAACACGTATGTAGAAATCATGCATTTGTATCCAAATTGCAGTGTTTGATTGTAGATTCAGAGTTAAAAAAATTCATAATTTTACATAAATCTAGGTGTTAGGGAGTGACTAAACGTCTTCTCTAGACTCTAGAGTCTAGACTAGGGATGTCAAAAATATATGTAATCATGGATATCCGGTTAAATCCAACCTAATCGGCTAGGGTAAAATTCGAACTCGAAAAACTTTTAGTGGGTAAGGGTAAAATCCAAACCCGAATATTGCGAGTAATGGGTGGTCATGGTATTCTCACTATCCAACCCAAATCTGCCCGATTATACACATGCATATTTATTTTGTATAGAAATAATCAATATTATTCTCTAGCATATTTTTCTTTAGTATATAAATATAATATTTTTATGAAACTGTGTTGTTTTAACTAATTTTTTCATTCTAGTGAATTATTGTAGTACATTTCTTCTTACGTAACGTGGGAATACTTGTGAATATTAACATATTGGTTGGAGTTATAAAGAGAAACTATTACCCATAGATAACCGTGGATTCCCGAAGGCCGAAACACGTACGGGTATGGGCACAATTTGGATTTTCTACCCGTTTCTTATGTGGGAATGGGTATGGGTAAAACTCGAACTACTTTGGGTAGGATAACAGATATGCACTATCCATCCACGACCCGACACATTGCCATCCCTACTTTAGGAAAAAAAATATAGACGACGCTTAGGCAAAACTAGGCACGATTAGGCGGTTTGAGGTGTGATTAATCCAAGTGAGACGTGTTTAAGTACACTGACAAAACCAAAGATTAAAAAATAGTAGTTAATCTTTCCAAACGACACCATCTCCACCTGCCCTATATTCTACGTGTTTTTCACTCCTTTTGTTAGAAACCTTGATCTAGGTGTGCACGTCAAGGGTTCACTAATCCAGAGATCGATAGATAATCACGGGCTGAATGGGATTTAGGAGGAGTGTGAGAATTGGGGCCTGGGGAAGGGTGATTTGGTGAGGAGAAGAAGAAGGTCGGCTTCCCTAGTGTAGGGAGTCGACAACAGCAAGGGTGGAAAGAGGGAGAGAGTTGCCGAGGAGAGAGAGATATTAGGTTAAGGGAATGCTTGTTCTGTAATTACTTACCCTATTAATCCCACGATTACAGAATATATAGCCCGATAAATTCCCAATAATTGTTGTGGAATTGTTCAAGTATACTAAATCTTGCAAAACAAACAACATGTAAGATCACGAAAAATCATGCAAAGACACATATGCAAGCGCCCTAGCCGAAAGAATTCACTGTCTCTCCTTAAAGAATCTTATTCCCCTCTAGCACCGAAGGTTATGGAATGATCCCTCCTAGGATAGAAAGGACGTACCTTTTCCGGCGTAGCGGTACCTCAAACCCCGAAAACCATCAAACGCAACGAACTAGCGAGAGCCACCCTTGACTCCATTTTCTCTTTGAAAAACAATGCAGAAAAATAACTTTAGATTTTGGCAGAGTTTTGGTATAGGAAAAACTTATGTTTCTTGTAGTAAAAACTAGAGGGGGTATGGTGCTATTTATCGAAAATGAAGGGTTTTGTACAAAGGGAGGCGACTCTTCATATAGGTGGTTACACCCCCAACCAACACATTGGTTCATTTTAAAATAATGAGCCATTGCATCGGTTCGGCCCATGATAGTTGGACCGGTTTGGTTATTCCAACTGCCATATCGGTTCGGTTTTATTTGGTTCAACTTGGTTTAGTTTGGTCCATTTGGTTACACAAGCCAATTTAACCTATTTACCACATATTACATTAAATCGATCGAATTCGAGGCGTGCCTTCCCTTATCTTACCAACATGGTACTTCAAGAGATTCTCTTGGATCTTTCCCCTTTCATTTCCATTCACACCATTAAAAAACCCCAATAATCCCCGACATGAATGGAGAATGTTTTACTTTAAAAACTATGCGAAAAACTCGTGTGATTCTCGACTAAGAATTAGTTGCATCGGGATAGGTAGGTTTCCCTTTGAACCTTCCTTAGTGAACATATATCGAGTATACTCACCAATCGGTAGATGTGATATCTTTGAACCGTCGGTTTTCCTCGTATACTAAGACAACATATGTCACACAACTAACTCTTATCCGTTCACTAGTTCTCATTGTTGTGTTCGTTTTAGCCATGAACGTCGCCTGGTCTCATGAGTGCTTAAAGAACTAGCCTTCTTTTATTCTCCTTGAAGCGGCTCCACTTCACACTCGCATAGGTGATTTTTAAATGTGTATTCCGAAAATACACTATTTGATCACATCCCGTGTCAAACTTAGAAACCATTAAAAATCTTCCACCTTTAGATTTACCCTTATAGTTGGACATTGTCTCATCATGAGAATGGAATTTGAATAATTTGACAATGTCGGACCATAATTCACAACTTTGTTTGCTTCTTGAACCTAGAGGTCGGGTCAGCCAATCCTGCTTAGCTAGAGTTACTGCCATGATGATTTGTCCTAGGCCATGAATCCATTCCCTTCGATGCTTTAATTAATTTCTAGGTGGGCCCCACGTTTGTAATCATTTGACCTAAAATGATCAACTCCGATAACTTTGCTAGAAATTAATCAATAAAAAATGGGGTTAATTGCATGGTTGGTCACTCAGATTACAAAAAACGTTCATGTTTGGTCACTCAAAATATTTAATTACATTCGTGGTCACTAAAATTAATTAAAGAGTTCAAGTTTGGTCACTCTCCGTCCATCTCCGTTAACTTTTGCTTATGTGGCAGTCAACTCTTACAATTGACCGTTAAATGTGCCACGTGGCAATTTAAAAATAATATTTTAAATTTTAAATTTCCAACTCATTATTCCAACTAATAAAAAATAAAAATTATAAAATACCTAATTTCTTTTCTTCTAATTTCCATGTTCGGATGAACCTCAACCGTCCCTTCTCCTTCTTCCTTACGCCACCGCCGCCAGCAGCCACCTCCACCACCACCACTGCCGGCAACTCTCCCTCTTAGATCGGATCCCTTCACATCAACCCATGAGAAATTGAAAGCTCCAACTTCACAAATCTCTCTTTCCCTCTCTCAAATGCATTAAATTAATCAAAAGTGAAAAGTTCCCTCGCACCTCTTCGCCATTAATTAAACATTTCATTGTCATCCCCGTCATAAATTTTCAACTGGGTTCCAAGAAGAAGGAGGAAAGGTTCCAGCTTTGAGCTGAATTTCGGTTTGGTTTTTTTCCCCCTCTGGGTTTGTTGGAGAAAGAGAAATGGGGAATGTGACGTCGAACGTGGCGGCGAAATTTGCCTTCTTCCCGCCGGACCCGCCGACGTATGACGTGCTGGAGGAGGAAGAAGGGAGGCTGGTGGTGCCAGGTGTCACGGGGGACAAGAACATGGATGTCCATACGTTGGATACCAAAGCTGGGAACAAGGTTGTGGCCATGTTCTGGAAGCACCCTTTTGCCAGATTCACCCTTCTCTATTCCCATGGCAACGCCGCCGACCTCGGCCAAATGCATGAGCTCTTCATTGAGCTCGGGGCTCATCTCCGAGTCAACATCATGTGGTTAGAAACTCTGGCTTTTGTTTTAATGTTCTGTTTTCTGATGAAGTTCAAGGGCATTGTTGATTTGAATCAACATGAAGAAGAAGTCCAGAAACCCAAAGGAATGCAGAAGCTGAAGGTTGCAGAACTTGCAGAAGAAGAAGAACGATGGAGTTGAGGCTCTTGGTGAAGAAACGTTTCATGTTGGAAACGGCTTAGCTAAAACGCAGCGTTCAGTTTCTTTATTAGTGTTAGTTACTTACAGAACAATAGAATAGTGACACCTGGCTTTGTTACCGTTATGTTACAGTAAAATTGGAACTCTATAAATCAAAGAATCCCAGCAACAAGACAAGCTGAGAAATTCCCAACTTCTTCTTCCTCCTTTCTTCCGCTCAATCAAACCCTTCCTCAGGAAGGTTTCAAACCCTTCTTTAGAAAGTTTCTAAGGGATCATGTCAGGCTCGGGCACGACGAGTGGAGGTCCTAATACTCCACCAAACACTCCTCCAATGAACTTTGGATCCTTCCAAAACCAGCCAGGAAACCCTCAAGGCAACAACAACAACAACCGAGCTGCAGATCTGAATTTCGGTAACCCATTCTACATAAATCCCAATGAGAATTTAGCTCAATCTATCGTACCCATTGTTTTAGATGGCCCAAATTATTAGACCTGGTGTAAGGCAGTGAAGGTGGTTCTTAAGACTAAGAACAAGCTGGGTTTTATAGATGGGTCGATTGTTGCTCCGAACAGAAATGACAACTTATTTCAGATCTGGGATGCTTGTAACACGATTGTGCTGTGTTGGATTACTAATTCTCTGGAAAAGGACATAGCAAGAAGTGTCCTAAGTCATGATAATGCTTATGCTTTGTGGAATGAACTTAGAGATCGTTATGGTCAAGCTGATGCACAGAAGCTTACTAACCTTGAGGATGAAATTCATTCCACTAAGCAAGGAACACAGACTATTACACAGTACTATACACACATGAAAGGTCTTTGGGAAGAGTATTGACTCGACTCTACTGTCACTCCAGGAATTGGCCAAGTGAAACCACTTCCTAAAGCGTAGTATAGCGGGTTTGGGTTTAATTATCAACCCGGGTCCTAGATGTGATGACTACTCAGTGAATTCTTGTTATCTAGCAATGAAACTGGCATGCAAGTCTAAACTATCAAACTAACAAAGCAAGTAAACTGTTGTATTCAGGTTAAAGAGGTCACCCGGATATGGTTCCCCCTAGACTGCAGTTAAGCCGGATTGTAATTACCAAGTTCAGTTTCTATGATAGTTATACTGCGGAAGGTTCTTAAACAGCCTGAAGTCTCGACTAAAGGTCTTCAGACCCTCTCAATCTGAGTCTCTAGCGGGCGACTAACCTCCACCGGAGTAAACAGATTGAGGCCCTAAAAACAAAACCTCCACTACCGAAGTAAATCCGGTACAGAATAGTGAGTTGGCTCCTCGACTAAAGTCACCAACTCCCTACCTTCAATCAAGGATGCTCTATCAACCTAGGCAGATATTCTCATTCTAGGTCAAGGCAGAAACAACAGGAATTTGATCAGGATTCAAGTCATTCAATCATTAAAACCTCAATCGAATATAATCAATCATAGAATAAGTACTTGGGTTCATACAATCAAAGCCTAACATACAAATCTAGGGTTCTCCATACCCAGATGAATGGAAGAACTACTCCATGGAGAAGAAAGCAAAAGCAGAATCAGACACGGAATTCATACTGCGAAGGACGGATTCCGGCTTCTGGACGTTGATCGGCACTTCTCCAAGCTCAAGCTGGCCTCCAATGGTGTTGAAGATCAATCTAGGGCACTTGGGAACTCTTGCTCGTCACTTTCTCTCTCTAGAAGTCGTTCTTTCTCTCAAAAACTCGAATCCTCCCGAATTGTGGCTGAAATTCTGCTTAAAAGGAGAAAATCCCGACTCACACGGCCAGGGTGGCACGGCCGTGCAGCTCACCCAGTTGCCCGTGTGAGTCAAAACGCATCGTTTCATTTAGTTTGAATTCCAGGCTCTTTGCACGGCCAGAATGGCACGGCCGTGTAGACATCCCCTCTTGCCCGTGTTTGCTCTCGCAGAATGTGGCACGGCCAACCCGCCCACTTGCACGGCCGTGTCGATCATCTGCTCTGCCCGTGTGTGCTCTCGGCAAAACTCACACGGCCAGGCCATTACTTCACACGGCCGTGTGAAGATCAGGGCAGCCCGTGTGACCTCCTTTGTGACTTGTCTCGCGCCCGATCTTCACCCAATCGACCCCGAACTCGCTCCTAAACCTTCATTCACTTGCCAGGACCTGAAATATCACAAACAAGCACAACCTAGCGTGAAATCGGTCTAAAACACGAGAAACCACATCTCAACGGTGTAAGAACAGGGGTGAAAACATGTGTAACTAACGGTCTATCAAACTCCCCCACACTTAACCGTTTGCTTGTCCCCAAGCAAACCTAACTCAAACCAATTCAACTCTCCAGACCTCTATAGCAACAGACAACCCAGATCGTAGGTAGAGGACTTCCTAGGTCATTTAGCAACTTACGAGGTCAACCGACGCACAAGTCATCTCATAGCTTCTTCGGCGAGTCGACATCATGGCAAACAGTGAACAGAGGACAAATGAATCATGGATGAAGAGATTCTCAAAAACAACAGATCATGGACTCACATTTTTCAAGGTGCTCTATTTTATTCTTGAAGATGGTTGGAACCCCCTTTTTTTCTATTTTGCTTGTTTTCTGTTATTTTTCTTTTCTTTTCTTTTCAAGGGTCCCAACCTGCTCTTACCGGCCATGCCAGGAGCGGATGTCTCGAGCCTCGTGCGGGGGAAAGACATGTAAGGGGGCTGGAGGTAGTAGGTGGAAATTGGGAACGGATTCCCGTCTCCCCTTACACACTTTCGCCCTATTCGCACGGGAGACGTTTATTTTCAAGCACATTTTCGAGCACCTGTTATTTTCAAAACATGATACAAGAGTCCATGACAGGCAGAGAATCCACAACACCACACAATTCAAGGGTCCTAAGATCACTAATTCACTCAATCAACCAACTCAATATGAAGAAGAAATGAGACTCCTTAAATGCATCAACATCCTCCATAGTGCTACACTACCTCCCTAGGTTGCATATTACTATAAAGACTGTCAATTCAAAGCATACTGAGCAGGCAATTGCAAGGAAACACGTACTTGGAGCCCTCAAATTTAAAAATTTGGACAGTGGACTAGGCTCAAAGCACACAAACAGATCTAATGCAGTCAAAAGATAAACACCCCCCCACACTTAAGATCGACATTGCCCTCAATGGAGAAGAGGGAAGGATAAGGGAACGATGTACCGGTATGCACGGACTGCAGGAGACTGGAAACGGGCCAGTCGGGACAAGCACAGCCAAAGGGAAACAGAAGAGCTCAAACACAATATGTTAGGTTCAATGGTCAGCCCAATAAAATATCATCCAAACCAAAAGAAAACAAACCAAACCCAAACCGGGTTACAATCCGACTCAAAACACAAGAAAGAAAATCAAACCGTGGTGGGGTTGCCTCCCCACAAGCGCTTCTTTACCGTCTTTTAGCTGGACGCCCATGGTGGATACTCAGGGCGGTGCATGAACAGGTGCCTCCAAGAGCGGATCCACGTCTCTCTTGAGGTACAACTTCAGGTTGTGGCCATGCACCCAACGGATGCGACCACCCTCATCAGTCAGCTCAACCTGCCCATCTGGCAAGATGCAGGAGAGCGAGTACCCAGACGGCCAGGGTGGTCGTGGTGCAGGAGGTGGGACCATCTCATAGTGGTCTCCACTCTTCTTCCGTGCAGGCTTAGCAACCTGCTGCTTCGGCCGCCACTCCTCCTTGAGCTTTTTGTTCGGAGGCGAGGCTGGATGGAGTGGCGGCGAAGGAATGATAGGAGGGTCCTGCAAAATAGGAGGTGCAGAAGGGTACACGACAGACTCGTGTACCTGATCAGACATAGCATGCACAGGCGTGACAGCAATCATAGCACAGTGATCAAACTCAGTCACAGAAAAAGTAGCCTGTTCATCCCCAGCACGCAAGATCAACTTACCATCATGCACATTAATTAGTGCCTTGGCGGTGGCAAGAAATGGCCTACCTAGAATCAAGGGCACATCCACATCCTCATGTATATCAAGAATAACAAAATCAACAGGATATGTGAATGCACCAACACCAACAAGCAGATCCTCTATGATTCCCCTAGGATGCACAATAGAACGATCAGCTAATTGAATGCTCATCCTAGTAGGGCTAAGTTCACCTAGGTCTAGCATTTTATACAACTTATATGGCATGACGTTAATGCTAGCGCCTAGGTCCGCCAAGGACTTTCCTACATGCATGCTGCCAATAGTAAGAGGGATAGTAAAACTCCCTGGATCCTTGCGCTTCTCGGGCAGCTTGTTCTGCAGGATAGCAGAACACTCCTCGCTCAGCATCACTGTCGAGAGATCCCCAAGTTTCTTCTTGTTGGTGCATATATCTTTCATGAACTTGGCATACTTGGGCATCTTAGACAGTGCCTCCATGAACGGTATGCTGATATTGAGCTGCTTCAACATTGCCATGAACTTGGCAAACTCAGTCTCCAGCTTGTTCTTGTGTAGTCGAGTGGGGAAGGGAAGCTGGGGTACATGCTCCTTAACCACTGGTTGTGGCTTGGGAGCAGGGGCTTCTTTCTCCACCCGCACTTCTGCATCGTCGGCTGGAAGTGCTGAAGCAGGCAGTGGTTCCTCCTGTCTGGCCGGGACAGGATCAGCAGATATGGTCTTACCGCTCCTGGTAAAAATGGCATCCAGCTGCTGATGCTGGTGAGGATCTCGAGGATTCGGAACAGTGGTGGCAGGCAGAGTCCCCGGTGCCCTGGTAGTGTTTTGGCGGGCCAAGATGCCCACCTGGGTCTGCAGATCCTGCAAAATGGCACCCTGGTTCCTCTGACCTGCCTCCAGTGAGGCTACACTCTGGTCCAACCTCGTGATAGTCGCCTGAGTGCTCGTCATGAATGAAGCTAGAATGTTTTCCAGCTTCGTCATCCTGTCATCTGGGGCTGGAGCTGCTGCTGGCTCGGCAAACTGGCGCTGGGGCTGCTGGAATGGCTGCTGTGGAACTGGCCCCTGTCGAGCCTGGTAGGGCTGCCTCTGCTGAAAACCACCTGCTGGTGCTGGGAAACCAGGTGGTTTAGTGGTGTTGCTGCTCCAGGCAAAGTTGGGATGCTGGCGCCACCCCTCATTATATGTGCTACTGTATTGATCGAGACGCCTCGCATTGGCGATGAAGGCCAACTGCTCCTGGGGTGTGGTAGACTCCCTCATAGCCTGGCAGTCCTCCACTAGGTGATTGGAGCTCTCACACCACTGACACTGAGCAACTGGAGGTGTAGCCAAACCTCTGCCCGGAATCAGACTGTTAGGCTGCTTCAATGTCTGCACTAGCTCAGCTACTTGCTGCTCGAGCCCGGATCTGGTCTCCATGGCGTGCACACCACGGTCCCGGGACTGTCTGCCTCGGCTACCCTGTCCCCAAGAATGATCTCTGGCAGCCAAAGTACTGATCATCTGGTTCAGCTCGGGTGGAGTCTTGGTAAGAATATCCCCTCCTGGGCATAAAGACTCAATCACCCTCTGGCTATCTGGGGAGAGAGCGCTGTAGAAGTTCCCCACAGTGAAAGCATCACTAAAGCCATGGTGGGGGCACTACCAGAAGTGGCCCATGTACCGCTCCCAAGCATCACGGAGTGACTCATCTGGCTCCTGGCGGAAGTGAGTGATCTCCCGCTGAATCTCTGTAGTCTTCGATGCCGGATAGTACCTGTGCACGAACTTGTCCGCCAGATCGTCCCAAGAGGTGATGGACAATGGGGGCTGGGTCTCCAGCCACCTCTTAGCATTCCCCGCCAGAGAATGGGGGAAGAGATGAAGGCGGATCGCATCATCGGGAACACCGTTCAGCTTGAACCCGTTTGTCAGCTGCAGAAAATGGGACAGATGTACCTTGGCCTCCTGATAGACCGTTATTTACACATGTTTTTACCCCTGTTCTTACACCGTTTGAGATGTGATTTCTCGTGTTTTAGGCCGATTTCACGCTAGGTTGTGCTTGTTTGTCATATTTCAGGTCCTAGTACGTGAATGAAGGCTTAGGAGCGAGTCTGGGGTCGATTGGACGAAGAACGGACGAATGGCGAGGTTTTTGGGAGCTGCACGGGCAGACCAGAGGGGCTGCACGGCCGTGCACGGTTGCAAGCTGGCCGTGCGCCTCATGCCGAGGAACTGCACGGGCAGGCCCTGAAGATTGCACGGCCGTGCACCTGGCCGTGCAAGAAGCCTGAGTTCAATTAAGGGATACGCTGCGTTTCATGGTGCACGGCCAGAATGGTGAGGTGCACGGCCGTGCACCCTGGCCGTGCAACTCGGGAAAACCCGGTTTTAAAGCCTAATCCGAGCCAGAAGTGAGAGAACAGTGTTTTCAGAGCAAAAACAGAGCCCTAGAGAGAGAAAGTACGAAGAACACATCCTAGAAGCTGTCTTAGAGCTGGATTTCATCGAATCGAGCCTGGAGATCATCATAGGAGTGAAAATCATCGTCCCGGAGCAGATTATCCTCATCGTTATGAGTATGACTAATCCGATTCTTGTTTTCTCTTCTCTCTCTATGGAGTAGAACCTCTCTCTCACTTGGGGATGAAGAACCCTAGTTCTATGTGTTAGGGGATTGATTGTAATGACTTGGGATGATACTACTGTTTGATTTTAATCGAATGATGCATGTTTCATGAATTGATTTGAGTCTGATCAGCTTGTCTCAATTTCTGCTTCAACCTGAGATAGATAGAATCTGATTAGGTTGTTAGAGCCTCTTCATTCGATAGTAGGAGGTTGGCTATACGAGAGTTAGCCAGTTTACTGCTTTGTACTGGTGTTCTTGGCGCCAGTAGTGGAGTTCTGTGTTCATAGCCTCAGCTTTCTATCCCGGTGAAGACTAGTCGTCTGCCGGGTAGTTAGACTGAGAGGGCTTGGTCAGCTTAAGAGATTCCAAGCTACTGTCGGATCTTCCGCAGTCTAATCAACAGTAAATCAACCCAGGGTAAATTGCAATTGAAACCTAACTAAAGAGCTAGGGGGATTCATTCCCGAGTGACTCTTTCCTGCTTAAGAAAACCGAATAATTTCCTGCTTTATTTCTGCTTTTAGTTTAAACAACAATCACTTACTCTAGTTGGCTAGATAACAGAGAATCACTGAGTAAGCAGTAGATCTAGAGCCCGGGTTGATAATATAACTTGCCTGTTACTGCATTCCCGGTCTGCGATTACACTTGGTCGCAGATTGGTGTTGTGTTTTGGCGTGTCAAGTTTTTGGCGCCGTTGCCGGGGAACCCTCTAGGTTATTGGGGAAACGTGAGAATTTGTTACTCTAGCTTTTATTTTCTGTTTTTTATTTCTTCCACCTGTGTGCCTTCACGGGTTGTTTCTGCTGATAGTGTGCAGGTAGTGCATGACCCGTAGCCAGTCGGGAGATCTACTACCACTAGACCAAGAGCTTGAACGAACCTGCAGAAACTTCAAGCGGGCTCTAAAGGCGCGACTGGCTGCGGAGGAGGCGCTATCACAGCTGCAGTTAGAGGAGGAAGAAGAAGAGATGGCTGAACCAGGGAACCATGCTGTGATCCCCGAGGAGCAGACCATGGGCTCCTACTGGACCGCTAGGGCTGCGGACATGAGGTCACCCATTCAGCACCCTCAGGTCCCAGCCAACAACTTTGAGGTAAGCACCTCCGTGATCACCATGCTGCGCGGTTCAGTAGTGTTCCGTGGTAAGGAGGGAGAGTGCCCTCGATCACATCTCAGGCGATTCCACGAGCTCATCGATGGAATCAAGATCAATGGGGTACCAGCAGATGCCATCCAGCTGAGGTACTTCCCATTCACTCTGGAGGGGCAGGCCAAGGAGTGGCTAGACACTCGATCTCCGGGCTCCATCACCACGTTCGCCAACCTGGCGGACAAGTTCCTCACCCGCTACCATCCTCCATCCAAGACAGCTGACCTGCAGAAGCAAATTACACATTTTGTTCAGGATGAGGATGAGACCATCAGGGATGCATGGGAGAGGTACAACAGTCTTTTCCTCAGGTGTCCAAATCATGGTTTCAACGATGCGTTCAAGGTGGGCACCTTCTATCACGCCCTCTTCCCGGAGGACAAGCAGCTGATCGATTCGGTTTGTGGCGGGAACATGCTGACCAAAACCCCGCCACAGCTGAATCAACTCTTTGAAGAGATGGCGGAGAATGGTTATGATTGGGGCACTGCCAGGAGATCGAGGAGAGCACCAGGCCGGGGTGTGCATGCTGTGGGCACCCAGTCATCTGATTTGGTGCAGGTAGTATCGAAGCTGGTCTCGGCTATCGATCGTTCCGGGATGATTCCAGGGACCGGACAGCAGCAGGCGATGCTCTGCCAGTGGTGCGAGAGCACCCATCATATGGTGGAAGACTGCCAGGCGATGAAGGAATCGACCACACCCCAGGAGCAGGTGAACTTCATCAACAATGTCAGGCGCAATGACCCCTACAGCAACACGTACAATGAGGGGTGGCGCCAGCATCCTAACTTCTCCTGGGCTGGGCCAAATCCCAGACCACCAGCTCCACAGGGACCACCGGGCTTCCAGAGGCCACCATATCAGCCCAGACAGGGGCAATTCCAGCAGCCAGGTGCAGCCCCTGCTGCCCCAGTGCAGAATGATCAGATGGCTGAACTGCGGGACTTGGTGGGTTCTCTTGCCAGTGTTAGTGCTCAGAAATTCAACACCTTTGAGCAATTCATGGAGAAGGCCTCGGGTCAACTCCTGGCTCTGGAAGCTGGTCAGAGGAATACACGGGCTGTTTTGCAGGATATCCAGACCCAGCTGGGGAGCGTGGCCCAGGCAGTGGCTCAAAGGGCTCCTGGTACTCTACCAGGGCAGACCATCCCTCACCCGCCGACCCCGAATGAGCGCTGCAATGCCATCATGACCAGGAGTGGCAAGATGACTGTTGATCCCCCTGCTCGGGAACCGGAGGAAGAAAGCCCTGTCTTAGCGGCTCCAGTGGTTGAACAGGAAGTAGAGAAGGAAGTTGAGGTGCCTGCACCTAAACCGCAACCAGTAGTGAAGGAGTATGTCCCTAAACTCCCTTTCCCTACTCGGTTGCACAAAGACAGGCTGGAGGCAGAGTTCGAGAACTTCATGGCCATGCTTAAGAAGCTGAATGTCCAAGTGCCCTTCCTGGAGGCACTATCGCAAATGCCAAAGTATGCGAAGTTTCTGAAAGAGCTTCTCTCAAAGAAGCAGAAGCTGAGTGAGCTGGCCACGGTAGAGCTCAGCGAGGAATGCTCGGCTATTCTGCAAAACAAGCTTCCGCAGAAGAAGAAGGACCCAGGTAGTTTTACTATCCCGTGCTCTATTGATAAATTGCATGTAGAGAAGTCCTTGGCGGATTTAGGTGCTAGTATCAATGTTATTCCATATAAATTGTTCATGAAACTAGGCCTAGGTGAACCCCGTGCTACTAGGATGACCCTTCAATTAGCTGACAGATCTGTAGTGCATCCTAGGGGTATAGTGGAAGACCTTCTGGTTAAGGTTGGCAAATTCACATATCCCGTGGATTTTGTTATCTTGGACATCAGTGAGGACACAGAAGTGCCTCTTATACTGGGAAGGCCTTTCCTGGCCACCGCCAAGGCTCTCATAGATGTGCATGATGGGACCTTAGTTTTGAGGGATGGCGAGGAGCGAATAACGTTTTCTGTTGCTGATAATATACCTGCTTCGTCACCTCTTCATGCTGTATCTCACCAGGAGCACGAGTCTGTCGTGTATCCTTCTGTGCTGCCCATTTTGCAGGAACCGCCTCCCACTGGCGAGGAGCGAATAACGTTTTCTGTTGCTGATACTATACCTGCTTCGTCACCTCTTCATGCTGTATCTCACCAAGAGCACGAGTCTGTCGTGTATCCTTCTGTGCTGCCCATTTTGCAGGAACCGCCTCCCACACCTTCGCCGCCACTCCGGACCACTCCTTCACCCAAAGAACAGATCAAGGAGGAGTGGCGGCCGAAACTGCAGGCAGCTAAGCCTGCTCGAAAGAAAGCCGGAGACCACTATGAGCTGGTCCCGCCCCCTCCTTGGCCATCCGAGTATTCACTCGCTTGCATCCTGCCGGATGGCCAAGTCGAGCTGGCGAATGCAGGTGGCCACATTCGTCGCGTGCATGGCCACCATTTGAAGCTGTACCTCAAGAGCGATGTGGATCCACTCTTGAAGGCACCTGATCCTACACTTCCCTGAGCATCCATACTGGCGTCCAGCTAAAAGACGGTAAAGAAGCGCTTGTGGGGAGGCAACCCCACCGAGGTTGATTTCGGGACCCCAGCAAGTCGCACGGCCAGAACCTAGACTTGCACGGCCGTGCGCTATGCCTGGCCTGGCCGTGCGAGCTCTCGGCCAGGAGTGCACGGCCAAAAGCGACAGGTGCACGGCCGTGCGCCTCGGCTCGGCCAGGCCGTGTCGGCCTGCACGGGCAGAAGCACGCCGTGCACGGCCGTGCGCGCCTGCCCGTGCGGCCGGGGCTGCTTCAGCTGACGGTGATGATGGAACTGCTGGCGCTGCTGATGATGATGCGTTCATGACCGACATCGACCTCGACGATCTTGGAGACGAGTAGGCTGTACTCGTTGCCCGTCTCAGTGTGTTTGTTTTGTGTGTTTTCTTTTTCATTTTAGACTTTTGTGTGTTTGCTCCATGTGTGCGGAGCTTGAACTTAGTGTCGTTTGTTTTTGTTTTTGGTTTTTCCTTTGTGGTTTGATGTAGCCGTCTGGGCTAACACTTATCCCTAACGCACAGTGTGCTAGTGTGTTTCTGATGTTCGATTTGTGCAGCATTGTCCACTCTCCCGTTCGTTTCTCGCCGACTGGTCCACTTCCAGTCCCCCAGCAGTGTTCCTACCCGGTAACATCGTTCCCCTTATCTTTCCCTCTGCTCCATTGAGGGCAATGTCGTTCTTAAGTGTGGGGGGATGCTTTGTATCGGTTGGAATATGTATGATGGTGCTTGGAGCCTAGTCCGCTGTCCGAATCTTACGATTTGAGGGCTCCAAGTACTGCTGTTTGATCATATTGGCACTGTGTTTTGATGGATGAATTGATTGGTTTTCGGATTAATGCATGACAACTTGTTTGCGACTAGGACAACCTATGATGAGGACTGAGATGTGCATTAGAACGATGTAGGGGTTCAGTTTTTCAACTGTTTGCTTGCCAACTGTGACTTGATCTGACTTGATCTGATTACTTGTTCTTAACAGTCGTTTATGCATCTAGTTCAGGGTAGCAGAATTTGAGATAGAGCATATAGGTAGCCATGTGAGATTTGAGCCTGCTCGTTTCTTTCTTGTGCGATAGATCCCTCTTCCATGATGTGTAGCATTCACGTTGTCACTAGCTGAGATGATGGGGGCATAGGATTAGCCCACGCCCAAAACTGACTGTCCTGATGTGTCATATCCCCTAGTCAGCCCCTTTGAGCCGTGTGTTATCCTTTCTTTTGGTCTATAATGAAAAGAAATCACCCTTGTTGCATCTTTTAGAAGGTTCCACAGAGTGGTTTTTATATATTCTCTGCTGTTTCTGCTAAAGTCTATGTGAGTGTTGGAGGTAGTGCTTAAAAGTTGGGCGGATGTTTGAAATATGTGCAGGAGTGGTGGCTCTCTTAAGAAATGAAAAGAAGAATAAAAGAAAAACAAAAAAAAAAATTGAAAGTAAAAGAGAGCCACTACCAAAAATCTGAATAATACCCAGTAAGTAGTGTTTCTTAGCAGTCTGGCTTGGAAATGCTGATGTTTATGCCTCCTTCGCTCTTGTGCTCTTAAGATATTGAGTAATGCAGGATAGCAGAAAGAAAATACCGGGTTGCTGACTGTGTTTGTGTGTTCGGGAAATGTGGAACCTTTTGCTATGAATACTTCCACCACCTAAAAGGCCTTTTCCCCATGTCCAAGACCCTAGCCAGTCATTTGAACCTGTGTCTAAGACCTCCTGATTAGTTAGTGGTGACACCCCATATGTGAACTCTAGCATTTAGAGGCTGCCATCATGGTGAAGAGATGATAGGGATTGAGAGAAATAGCATGCGCATCTTTCGCATCAAATTGTCCTGACCCCACTGGTCGAGAGTGAGTGATTCATTTTCATTTTCTATATGCTCTTGTACCCCGGTGAGGACCTAGATTGCTCGGTCTCTATTCTGATGTCTTGAGTTGGATGCATGAGTTGACTGTTTTGAGTAAGTGGTTGAATCAAGTCTAGGTTGGCCAGTGAACAGACGGGAGACTCTTCCTTTACTCGATTTGCTGCACTCGAATGTCCTTTGTGGTGGTTGTCCAGGTTGTTATTGAGGTTGTGCATGTATTGATGTTTGAAAACCAGTGCGATTCACGTGTTCTGTGCCTTTATGACTTGTCCCCAATGTTGGTTGATTGAAATATGTAAGCTTACCTAGTGTCTGACTTGGTTTGCTTGGGGACAAGCAAACGGTTAAGTGTGGGGGAGTTTGATAGACCGTTATTTACACATGTTTTTACCCCTGTTCTTACACCGTTTGAGATGTGATTTCTCGTGTTTTAGGCCGATTTCACGCTAGGTTGTGCTTGTTTGTCATATTTCAGGTCCTAGTACGTGAATGAAGGCTTAGGAGCGAGTCTGGGGTCGATTGGACGAAGAACGGACGAATGGCGCGGTTTTTGGGAGCTGCACGGGCAGACCAGAGGGGCTGCACGGCCGTGCATGGTTGCAAGCTGGCCGTGCGCCTCATGCCGAGGAACTGCACGGGCAGGCCCTGAAGATTGCACGGCCGTGCACCTGGCCGTGCAAGAAGCCTGAGTTCAATTAAGGGATACGCTGCGTTTCATGGTGCACGGCCAGAATGGTGAGGTGCACGGCCGTGCACCCTGGCCGTGCAACTCGGGAAAACCCGGTTTTAAAGCCTAATCCGAGCCAGAAGTGAGAGAACAGTGTTTTCAGAGCAAAAACAGAGCCCTAGAGAGAGAAAGTACGAAGAACACATCCTAGAAGCTGTCTTAGAGCTGGATTTCATCGAATCGAGCCTGGAGATCATCATAGGAGTGAAAATCATCGTCCCGGAGCAGATTATCCTCATCGTTATGAGTATGACTAATCCGATTCTTGTTTTCTCTTCTCTCTCTATGGAGTAGAACCTCTCTCTCACTTGGGGATGAAGAACCCTAGTTCTATGTGTTAGGGGATTGATTGTAATGACTTGGGATGATACTACTGTTTGATTTTAATCGAATGATGCATGTTTCATGAATTGATTTGAGTCTGATCAGCTTGTCTCAATTTCTGCTTCAACCTGAGATAGATAGAATCTGATTAGGTTGTTAGAGCCTCTTCATTCGATAGTAGGAGGTTGGCTATACGAGAGTTAGCCAGTTTACTGCTTTGTACTGGTGTTCTTGGCGCCAGTAGTGGAGTTCTGTGTTCATAGCCTCAGCTTTCTATCCCGGTGAAGACTAGTCGTCTGCCGGGTAGTTAGACTGAGAGGGCTTGGTCAGCTTAAGAGATTCCAAGCTACTGTCGGATCTTCCGCAGTCTAATCAACAGTAAATCAACCCAGGGTAAATTGCAATTGAAACCTAACTAAAGAGCTAGGGGGATTCATTCCCGAGTGACTCTTTCCTGCTTAAGAAAACCGAATAATTTCCTGCTTTATTTCTGCTTTTAGTTTAAACAACAATCACTTACTCTAGTTGCCTAGATAACAGAGAATCACTGAGTAAGCAGTAGATCTAGAGCCCGGGTTGATAATATAACTTGCCTGTTACTGCATTCCCGGTCTGCGATTACACTTGGTCGCAGATTGGTGTTGTGTTTTGGCGTGTCACCTCCTCATCCTTCAAGCCATGAAACTGGATCGAGGATGTGATGAGCTGAATCCAGCATGGCTTGATCTCGAAGTTGTTTGCTGGGATCGGCGGGTAGAGGATGACCGGGCGGATGTCAGCAATCCGAGGAGTGTAGTAGTACTCCAAGGTGGGACCCGGCTGCGGTGGATGATGAACTCCATGGTCCTGGGGTATGGGGTTGTTCCCCAGGACCTGATTCACCGGGGGAACCTGCTGTGGATTCCCCTGGTGTTGGTTGTAGTCTCCGTCCATCCTGTGATCTTCTTCAGAATCGCTGCTCAGGTGGCCGTCTATGCGCTCTTCCGTAGCCAGTCTAGCTCGCTGTTGTCTCCTGAGCTGGCGACAGGTGCGGTCAATCTCTGGATTCAACGGCAGTAAACCTCCCGACTGGCTACGGGTCATGCACTACCTGCACACACTCAAGCAACAAACCCGTGAAGGCACAAGTGGGACAAAGAAAACAAAGCAAAAAGAAAAGCTAAATTAACAGAAATCACTTTTCTTCAACAACCTAGCCGTCCCCGGCAACGGCGCCAAAAACTTTACTCGACTCTACTGTCACTCCAGGAATTGGCCAAGTGAAACCACTTCCTAAAGCGTAGTATAGCGGGTTTGGGTTTAATTATCAACCCGGGTCCTAGATGTGATGACTACTCAGTGAATTCTTGTTATCTAGCAATGAAACTGGCATGCAAGTCTAAACTATCAAACTAACAAAGCAAGTAAACTGTTGTATTCAGGTTAAAGAGGTCACCCGGATATGGTTCCCCCTAGACTGCAGTTAAGCCGGATTGTAATTACCAAGTTCAGTTTCTATGATAGTTATACTGCGGAAGGTTCTTAAACAGCCTGAAGTCTCGACTAAAGGTCTTCAGACCCTCTCAATCTGAGTCTCTAGCGGGCGACTAACCTCCACCGGAGTAAACAGATTGAGGCCCTAAAAACAAAACCTCCACTACCGAAGTAAATCCGGTACAGAATAGTGAGTTGGCTCCTCGACTAAAGTCACCAACTCCCTACCTTCAATCAAGGATGCTCTATCAACCTAGGCAGATATTCTCATTCTAGGTCAAAGCAGAAACAACAGGAATTTGATCAGGATTCAAGTCATTCAATCATTAAAACCTCAATCGAATATAATCAATCATAGAATCAGTACTTGGGTTCATACAATCAAAGCCTAACGTACAAATTTAGGGTTCTCCATACCCAGATGAATGGAAGAACTACTCCATGGAGAAGAAAGCAAAAGCAGAATCAGACACGGAATTCATACTGCGAAGGACGGATTCCGGCTTCTGGACGTTGATTGGCACTTCTCCAAGCTCAAGCTGGCCTCCAATGGTGTTGAAGATCAATCTAGGGCACTTGGGAACTCTTGCTCGTCACTTTCTCTCTCTAGAAGTCGTTCTTTCTCTCAAAAACTCGAATCCTCCCGAATTGTGGCTGAAATTATGCTTAAAAGGAGAAAATCCCGACTCACACGGCTAGGGTGGCACGACCGTGCAGCTCACCCAGTTGCCCGTGTGAGTCAAAACGCATCGTTTCATTTAGTTCGAATTCCAGGCTCTTTGCACGGCCAGAATGGCACGGCCGTGTAGACATCCCCTCTTGCCCGTGTTTGCTCTCGCAGAATGTGGCACGGCCAACCCGGCCACTTGCACGGCCGTGTCGATCCTCTGCTCTGCCCGTGTGTGCTCTCGGCAAAACTCGCACGGCCAGGCCATTACTTCACACGGCCGTGTGAAGATCAGGGCAGCCCGTGTGACCTCCTTTGTGACTTGTCTCGCGCCCGATCTTCACCCAATCGACCCCGAACTCGCTCCTAAACCTTCATTCACTTGCCAGGACCTGAAATATCACAAACAAGCACAACCTAGCGTGAAATCGGTCTAAAACACGAGAAACTACATCTCCAACGGTGTAAGAACAGGGGTGAAAACATGTGTAACTAACGGTCTATCAAGTATACTCAGTTTAACCCTATTGTGCCTTGTGGTTGTTTACCTGGAAATCCTGTGCCTTGTGCTGCTGTTGAAGCATTTAAGTTGAAGCAGAATACAGACTACCTCATTCGATTCCTACGAGGGTTGAATCCTGAGTATGACTACATCAGGACACAGCAGCTGATGCAGAAGCCTCTGCCAACAGTAGTGCAAGCTTTCCATGATCTATTACAGCATGAACAGAAACTTAAGGCATATGGGAAAGGATCTGGTAACAAGGCAACAACTCAATCAGTTGCTTTAGCAGCTGGTTCTTACAGTGGAACTGGTTCTTCAAATTCCAACTCAACAACTAAGAATCCATACAAGGGAAATGGAGGTGGAGAAACTGGTACCTACAAAGGAAGTGGAAGTGGTGAGACTGACCAGTTGTTTTGCAACTACTGCAAGAAAACAAATCATGTAATCAAAGACTGCTGGAGACTTAAGAAGAAGAGATAGGAGAGAGAGGGATCAGGCAATAGGTTTTCTGGTGCAGTAGCCCAGGATGCAGATGTTGAAGGAGACAGGAACTCACAAGTTGAGGTTGGAAGTAGGTTTTCAAACACTACTGGAGGTTTTACTGCAGAGGAAATGAACAAGCTGAGAACCCTCTTGCAGTCTTCAAGTTCCAGTTCACCAACCTCCCCTCAGAGTCCTGCAATCAATCACAGGTCACATTCTGTGACTAACTATCTGCCTCAATTCCCAAGCTATGCAGGTAAACATGTTCGTTCTACTTATCAGAATCATAAAACTTTACAAAACACATGGATATTTGACACTGGTGCATCAGATCACATTGCTTGTTCCATTTCTCTTTTTGATAGTTGTTCTCCTGTGTCTGAAATTTTTGTCTATCTTCCTAATCAAACAAGGGTCCAAGTCTCTCACATAGGTTCAGTTAGGTTGTCTCCACAGCTATTCTTACATAATGTGCTTCTAGTTCCCAGCTTCACCTTCAACCTTGTATCTGTTAGCAAGCTTACACATGACCTCCCAATCTCACTCATATTTCAATCTGACCTTTGTCATGTCCAGGACCTAGTGACCGGCAAGAGGATTGGTTTGGCAAAAGAACATAGAGGTCTATATCACTTTCTACCAGACAAGCCTACCATACCAAACACTACCTCTCAAGTTGCTTCCATTTACAATTTTGAACCCCACAAGATTGAGCTGTGGCATTGGAGATTAGGCCACCCCAGTAATAGTAGTACTCTACTTATTAACAAATGTAATCCAACAGTTCCTGTTGAGAGAGTGAAACACTGTGAGCATTGCCATTTGTCCAGGCAAAAGAGATTGCCATTTCCTTTGAGTGATTCTAAAGCTCCAGACATATTTGAATTGGTGCATGTTGATATTTGGGGTCCATTATCAGTTAATCCCCATGATGGTTATTTTTACTTCCTAACCATTGTTGATGATCATTCTCGTGCTGTTTGGGTATACTTAATGAAACAGAAGTCTGAAGCTAGGGGATTATTGATTGGATTTTGTAAAATGGTTCATAACCAATTTGGAAAGGCAGTTAAAACTGTGAGGAGTGATCAGGGGAAGGAGTTTTACATGTGTGACTTCTACATTAATCAGGGCATAGAACATCAAACCTCCTGCACTTATACACCTGAACAAAATGGGAGGGTAGAACGCAAACATCAACACATTTTAAATGTGGCACATGCTTTGAGATTTCATTCAGGTGTACCCCTAAACTTCTGGAGTGATTGTGTAATCCATGCTGTTTACATAATCAATAGGCTTCCAACTCCAATCTTACAAAACAAGTCTCCCTATGAAGTACTATATCAAAAACCTCCTTTCTTTGGTCATTTGAAAGTTTTTGGGTGTTTAGCATATGCTGCTAGCACTGTTCCAGGCAGAACCAAGTTGGATCCAAGAGCTAGACAATGCATCTTCCTTGGACTTCCAACAGGTATCAAAGGTTATAAATTGTTTGACCTTAACTCACATGACTTCCTAGTGTCTAGGGATGTGATATTCTATGAAGACATATTCCCATTTAAAATGTTAAACTCAATTCCAGAAGTTGATAATGAACAGGCTGAAACCAATCCATCACCTGTATTTCCATCAATCCTAGATAATAGTCTTCCTCCTGTCAGTAGTCCTTCTCTACAGGGTAATGTCAATAGTCCATCCACACAGGGTCATGTCATTAGTCCTTCCTGTCAACCTTCTTCTTCATCTTCTCATCCTACAAGCAATGAATCTGGTGCATCTGTTGATAATACTCCTGTGTATGAGACTGATGCAACTGTAGAGAATGAAGAAGAAGAAGCAGAACTCCAGCAACTGGAGGAACATGAGGCAGAACCAATTAGAACAAGGCCTCAGAGAAATGTTACTTTGCCAACCAGGTTAAAGGATTATTACTTGGGAATTGTCACTAAGTATCCAATCACAGATGTGGTTGATTACAAGTTGCTGACTGAAGACATGAGAAGATATGCTGTCAATATGGTGACAATGGTTGAACCAGCTTCTTTTGCAGAAGCTAATGAAGAGGAGTGCTGGAGATTGGCAATGAAAGAAGAGTTACTTGCACTTATTGAAAATCAAACCTGGGAGTTAGTTAAGTTACCTCCAGGGAAGAAGGCAATTGGATGTAGGTGGGTGTACAAAATCAAACTCAAACCAGATGGAAGTGTTGAAAGATTTAAGGCCAGATTAGTGGCAAAGGGTTTTACTCAAGTCTATGGAGTTGATTTTCTAGATACTTTCTCACCAGTTGCCAAGAACAACTCAGTTAAAACACTGCTTGCAGTGGTGCAGCAAAGGACTGGTGTTTACATCAGTTAGATGTCTCTAATGCATTCTTGCATGGGGACTTGGAAGAAGATGTGTACATGCAGTTGCCATCAGGATATCCAGTTGATGAAGGTTCTGAGGGCATGGTTTGCAAACTCAAGAAGTCATTATATGGATTGAAACAAGCCAGTAGGCAGTGGTTTGCCAAGCTTACTGGATCTCTTTTGAAAAATGGATTCTCACAGTCCTCATCTGATTATTCTATGTTTGTCAAGAGGGTTCAGGGGAGGATTGTGATTGTCCTAGTCTATGTTGATGATATAATACTTGCAGGCCCCAGATTAGGTGATTTGGAGGCAGTAAAGTTGTTCCTTAAAAGGGATTTTAAGATCAAGGATCTTGGAAGTTTAAAATACTTCCTGGGATTGGAAGTGACAAGGAACTCTAGTGGGATTTCAGTCTCACAGAGAAAATGCTGCATGGATTTACTTGCAGAAACAGGATTATTGGATGCTAAGAGTTGTAAAGTCCTCTTGATTGCAAGGTCAAATTGAGTGCAACTGAAGGAACACTGCTGCCATATCCAAGTGTGTACAAGAGACTGGTAGGCAGATTACACTACTTGACAGTGACCAGACCAGACATTGCTTTTCCAGTTCAGCAGCTGTGTCAGTATCAAATACAACCAAGAGACACTCATTTACAAGCTGCTTACAGAGTTTTGAGATATTTGAAGGGAGCACCAGGTCAGGGTTTGCATTTTAAATCAAATAATGACCTGGTTTTGAAGGCTTACAGTGATGCTGATTGGGCAGCATGTCCTGATACAAGGAGATCCATTTCTGGTTATTGTACTTTCCTAGGTGGATCTCTGATTACATGGAGAGCAAAGAAGCAAACTACAGTGTCTAGGTCTTCGTCTGAAGCTGAATATAGAGCATTGGCTCACCTTGTGTGTGAGATACAGTGGCTTAAAGGGCTGCTTGCAGAACTGGATGTGAAGGTTCAAACACCAGTTCTGGTTTATTGTGACAACATGTCTGCAATTCAAATTGCAGAAAATCCAGTTTATCATGAGAGAACAAAACACATCGAAATCGATGTTCATGTTACTAGAGAAAGGATCAAGTCTGGACTTATCAATTTGAAGTTTGTAAGAAGTGAAGATCAACTTGCTGATCTGTTTACTAAAGGCCTAAGTCAATACAGGTTGAGTTACTTGTTGGACAAGTTGGGCGTATTAAACATATACGCGCCAACTTGTGGGAGCGTGATGAAGTTCAAGGGCATTGTTGATTTGAATCAACAAGAAGAAGAATTCCAGAAACCCAAAGGAATGCAGAAGCTGAAGGTTGCAGAACTTGCAGAAGAAGAAGAACGATGGAGTTGAGGCTCTTGGTGAAGAAACGTTTCATGTTGGAAACGGCTTAGCTAAAACGCAGCGTTCAGTTTCTTTATTAGTGTTAGTTACTTACAGAACAATAGAATAGTGACACATGGCTTTGTTACCGTTATGTTACAGTAAAATTGGAACTCTATAAATTAAAGAATCCCAGCAACAAGACAAGCTGAGGAATTCCCAACTTCTTCTTCTTCCTCCTTTCTTCCGCTCAATCAAACCCTTCCTCAGGAAGGTTTCAAACCCTTCTTTAGAAAGTTTCATTTTCATTTGTGCAAATTCACAGTACTTTGAACTTTAAATCAACCATTAATGTTGATTGGGAGATGTTCAAGACTGGATTTGATGAAAGTTTCTGGCTTTTCGATGAATTCTTGTCGAAATTAGAGTTGTTTCTGGTTTTGGGTTTTGGGATGCTTGATTGTATTCCTTGTTGTTCAAAGATTGGAGCTTTATTGTGATCACCTTTGTTCTCTGTTGTTTCTCTATGCAGCTATGACTATTCAGGCTATGGAGCATCTTCTGGAAACGCGCCGGTCACCAGCGTCGTGAAGCTGAAGGTGGTTGACACATCAATTTGGTCGATGGCGAGCTCTGTCAGTGCCAGCTTCACATTGCGAACTGCGGCAACGACGAACTGCGCGTCGGCGTCGTCGCAACATAGACGACGGAAACTCGCGTGCGGGGATAGAACGGCACTACGTTGTGCCGGAGCCACTCTGCTGCGGAAGACGGAGATTTCGCCATTTCTTGAACCAGATGGTTTGGAATGGAGAGCAGCACGCTGGCCTCGGTGAAAGACAAGGCCCGCGTCAGGCTCGGTGTTGGATCCAGAATCCGCACCGAGCGGAATCCGAGAGCCACTACCGCTGAGGCGATGGTCTCCGGGAGGCGGGAGGTGCTGCGAGGACGGAGATGAACTGCGACTGGAATTCGCTGGGCGGCGGCGGTGGTAGTGCGGCGGCGGAGTAGGTAACTCCAACAGCATCAGGGTTTGGTCGGTAGGGTATGGAGATTAGAAGAAATTAGTTTTAATATTTTTATTATTTTTTTAAATTGTGATAATGAGGTGGAAATTTAAAAAATTAAATTTTTTATTTTTTAATTGCCACGTCACACACTTAACGGTCAACTCTAATAGTTGACTGCCACATCAGACAAAATTAACAGAATTGGACGGAGAGTGACCAAATTTGAAATGTTTAAGTAATTTTAGTGACCATGAACGGAATTAAATATTTTTAGTGACCAAATTTGAACCGTTTTAGTAAATCCGGTGACCAACTATGCAATTAACCCATAAAAAATGTTATGTTTCTATGCCCTTGCAATAATAACTTTGTACACAAGTGCGTTTATTAACGCCAGTCTTAGCGGGCCAAACTATTGAACTTCATCGGTCTTAGTGGGTATATATACAGTTCAACTTGGATGTTTTCCAAGGTACTGCTCCCCATCAACCATAAATGCATAACCATTAATAGATTGCCTTTTGGTTCATCCGGTGAGTTCCCTTTGGGAACAATACACCAAAGACTCGTCTCTTTCGATCACTACACATCATGTGTTCTTAACTTGATTTTATTACCTTGTGATAATCTTTAACACATCATGTGTGCTTGACTTCAATTTATAGTCATTTCGGCTTAGATAGACTTGACTCACAAGTCTCCACTAGCCTCGCGCCATAGGTTTTACACACCTATGATTGTTCATATTTTCCCAGTAGATAGTTTACTACTATCAAAACCACCTTTACTTATAGTCCATGAAGGGCTATCATAGAGTCTTCCAACCTCTCATGCATCACTTTGAATGAAAAAGTGTCCAAATTAAATTGGCACAATTATCATTCATCCATGCCACATAAATGAATTGGACGAATGCGATGAACGCATTTAAACTTGGTGGTTGATCTTGGAATCAAACAAGCTCGTAATGGCTTTATCCAAACAATTTTCCACTTACGAATATAAATCTTCAATGCAGTAAAAAGCGTGATTCTACCTAAAAGTGGAAAAGGGGTAAAATCGAAAAGCAGTGAATCAAAGCGTAAAAGCGTAAGTTTTTTATGCATCCTGTATAATAGTTAAAAATCTGCTAAGTATGGCATAAACTATGTAAAATATTGGTGCACAGAGTTTAGATAAAAGAATAAATACCTGCAATTCATGTCTAAATTAGAATAAAATCATAACATCTTAACAATAACTTCATAAATATAAATCATAACCCACATACGAGTTAAAAATCCAAATTCTCACAACTAGTTTAAGTTTACATAATAACATACGAGTTTAATAATCCAAGTTCTCGAAATCAACGCACACAAATGTTATTAAGGATAGAAGGAAAACTACATCAATTCATCGGTTTCTATAATCTCCCATCATCAAAAGTTGTCATCCTTCTTCATATTACGAAAACTCAGGCATTGATTTGAGAAAAGTATGAAAAAGCAAGGAATGGATCTGAACATTGGCTTGAATATCTCCATAGGAGATACATTTCGGACAGTATAATCAATTTCGATCATCTAGGGAAAGTATCATCACATCCACAACGAAACACAACTACTCAAATTGATCCAAAATTTAGAAATCATCAAAAGGGGGAGCGGAGGGGGGGGGGGGGGGGTTGGAGTGAAAACCATCAGAAACCTAAAAAAGAATTGATAGAAGCAACATTGAAGCTGTTGTACGGTCCGCAACTCCGCATCATTGTTTAGGCACGATTTGGACGCCCGCATCACCTAGTGGAGCAACATTGAAGCTGCTGTACGATCTGTACAATCCGACATAGGTGAAGTGGCGACGGGCTAGGACAAGGAAGAGAAGGAAACTAACATGTTGTGGCACCGGCGAGTGCGACGGGTGCTGCCGCGTTGGAGGCTTTGAGGAGCTATCGAGTGCCACGGTTAGAGCTTTGCTTGCAAACTGGCGGCGACGGTTGTGGAGCCTTTTAGCAGCTTCGAATTCTTCGCTGGAGTCTGGAAGGCCTGCCTCGCAATGGTGGCGACATGCGATGGCGAATGCGGAGGGCGGGGCCTACCTCGTTGGAGTGCGTGAGACAGGAGACGAACGATTAGGGATTGTGGAAGATCTCAGGCCAATATCCACCCCAATCCCTTTTTTTTTGTCCGAAGTGATCGAAACGACGCCGTTTTGGTTTGGTGGAGACAGTTTTCTCCTTTGCTTGGAATCGGGTAAAATCGGTGTGAAAACACGTTTTTATCCGATGTCAACGATTTTAACGATTCTACTAACGCTTTTGACCGATTTTTAGTGAAAAACGATTTTATTAGTGATTTGAAACGTTTTCCTACCCTAGAAACGTAAAATCGTATGTTTTTACGCTTTAAAGCGCGATCTAGATTACATTGCTTGTATTTATCATTATGTAAATACACAATTTAAATAAGTACATCGTCATGGATCAAACTCCATATCTCAGGAACACTTCCCAATATAATGTTTCAATTTACTCCAAACAATTTGGTCACATGAACCAAAGTGTTGCAACTTTCAAGTGCTCAGAATTGAAACTCACAAATTTTATAAAAAATTTGTTTCCAAAAATTCTAATATAAATTCTTTTGCAATCAAACAAATTGAATTTTTGACTCATAATCAAATATGAGTTCGTTCCATCCCAAATACTACCAAAGTATTTGATATCACAACCAAACTAAGTTGGTTAAAAATTACAAACTGGTTCTCAATATATCATTGTTGGTCTTTGCCAAACCATTTTCCACCAGATTTAATTCCAGGATCACCAAATTTGACGATGAACACATGACAAAGCACTCATTATGAAGCAATTCAGTGCTTCATTTCATGTCTAACCGCTAAGTCATTCCAACTGTTCCTTTCGAAATGTTGCCCGAGCAACCATCCTCCAATAATATATGGTAGAGTTTTGAGTAATTTTCTCCATTTCAAATTTTCTGCAACGAGAGTGAAAATAGGAAGGACAATTTGGTCTTTACAATTAATTATTTATTTTATATAAAAATATCAGTAGCAAGATTTGAACCCGGGTCTCTTCCAGAAAAGACAACAATCATAACCAATTACATTAAACAAATTTATTGTATCTTTTTGAATAAAAAACATACACGAAGTTAAACTCGGAAAATCTGAGGACTTTTCCATCATGATTATCAAGCCCACTAAGTCTACCATATGTATTTTTCAATTTATTTTTTTTTTTGTGATTTTTTTTATCTTTGTACTTATCTCTTTCTAACTTACTCTGAAATTTCCTACATCGTACAATAGTTTGTGCCCCTTTCACTTCATAGTAAAAGGCCGTCTTTGAAAATCAATCTTCTGGTATCTCTGGGCACTACGATTTTATTGTTGAGGATTTAAGCTGGGCAAGTAGAAGATTCAACTCCAATATCAATCTATGACGAATAGAATCAAGTTCAATAAATGGAGTTGTAGAAGGAGGATTAGAAATAGAATTTTTGGTTGAAACATATGCCTCTTGAAATTGGCGATATAATGAATAAAAATTTGGTTGTACGACGAAGAGTGATGGCTATTGGATCTTTAGGTTTATGGCTTTTGCAGCTATCACAACCTATTTATATTTTAAAACGAGGAACTTATAGATAAGGTGTGTCTAATTTTGTGTCTTATTACTTTGATAGAGTCTATTAATTTATTGGAGGTAACCCAAATTGTTCGTTTGCCCTCAAATTTTGATGGTCCACTCTTAGCTGAGTTGTTAGTAGTATATAGTTTACTTGAATCAACAACTCTCCATTTCTTTTTTATTTGTGGTGGTATATTTTTCCTAAAAGGTGAGTATTTAACCCTTTATGTAGGATTGTGAGATTAGTTTCTATGGGTCGTGTGGGAATTTTATTGAGTTTTTATACTCTATCTTTCTTGACAATCAACTAACCAATAACATTTAAATGAGGCTTAATTATCATTATGAAAATGTGATCAATGATACATTTTTATATTTCATATTATTAAATGATTGTGATGTTTCTTTTAATGTTTGACCTATATATTATTTCTTTATGTATCATTTCGATCGAAGGATTGTCAATAAAATTAAACAGGTTACAGAATTAAACGTAACATAAAAATATAAATAACAAAATATGAACATTCCGGCCAACGGACCGGTTATAAGCTAGTTCAAATTATTACCAACAATTAATTGTTATGATTCATGTCGAGCAATCTCATTTGGAATAATTGAAGCGGTAACAGTGGATATATAATTTTACATCCAGCAATTCCAAACGTGACACTGTTTATGTCATGCGAAAGGTCATGGAAGCACTGGAACAGATATTACTGAACAAATTTTACAAAAAAAAAAAAAAAAAAAACTTTAACAACCAGCAAGTTTCTTTCTTTCGAATGGCAGACATAAACATGTATGTGTCACAGACAAATATAAATACATACATAACTAGTCACGTGCCCGGCCGGTTGGCCGGATTCGTTTATAAATCATAACAGGCTGTGGTCGAATGTATTTTTTAAACTCTAAACTCTCTCGTAGATTTGTCCCGATCGTAAAATTGGAGGCTTTCGGATAATGAGAAACGAATTTATCCTTATTGTAAGGAATCACGCATTCATAGTCCATATGGATTTTACTTCTTCCTCGACCAAGTGGGCAAATAACGAAACATTCTTCTCTCCTAACCCAAAATAATAATAAAAATGAAGAATTAAATTCAAAAAGGTAAAAGAGAACACAACTTCAAGAGGCTTCCTCCACCACACAGTTTGCCTAGTTCAACAACTTTGAGCTGAAACTCCATTGTGCTGTGTAGACTGCAGAGGGAATTGAAGACTATGCAGTCCAAAAAAAGCAATGTTTGAAGGCCCTGCTTCAACCAATCATTTCATCGAAAGAGAGTTTTACCTCGGTCAATTTACATAGTATTTTGGAGAGCGTTCATGTGTGGATGATGAAGGAGTACGGTGTGGAGAGTAGTCGGATGCCTCATCATCGGATACCATCATTAGGCAACAGTGGCTTATAATTAATGGTTTTCGCTGTTGCCTCTTGAGAAACCTTATAGGAAGTACAAACATAGCCTTTCATTGAAGAAAAACAACAGCATAGTACCAAAATCATTACGAAATGAAGAGAGAAGAAAATAGTTTAACCGACAACCTTTTTAACCATAAATATGAAAAGAGAATAAAATAGTTCAACCGACATCCTCTTTAATTATAAATATAAAAAGAGAATAAAATAATTCAACCGACATCCTGACCGACTAAATCCTCATACGAAAAATGAAAGAAAAATCCCATGAAAGGTAACCGACTCCTAAAATTGTTTTAAAAGAATCCTTCTATTTACTCCTCATCGTCGTAGACAACTCCATGTTTCCGT